TGAATTCATTATTTAAACTATCAAATGCTGAATTAAAGCAATACAGACGCACGATATTTACATACTTGCTTTGACAATGCTCACGAGAAAAAAGCGCACGTGATGTGTAAGAAAATGTATGTCCACTAGCAGGCGTTGTAAGCCAACTATGCCACAAAATATGTTACAAACATGCTCTAAAAACAGCTCAAAGCGGCCTAGACACTTTTAACAGGCATCTATTTGTTCACCTTGTTGCAGTAGACCGCTATTTAAGCAGCTTTTGATCAAGAAAAGTCTTTGACGTTGGCGTAATACTTATTCCACATTAATCTTAAGGCTGAAATCAAAGCAGAACATGTTCATTCTCATGAATCTAATTAAAAACATAACGTTCACAGCTATCAGGCCATGATTTCAGAAATTTGGAAAAGTTGTGGTAAGAGTCTGTGAAAATGGTCAACAAACGTGTTTTGTGTATATACTGTAGCCTAATGTTTGAAGTCATCCACACAAAGAAAATAGTAATATATATATGCAGTCAAGTCTGGTATTATTGATTCAATTGTCATAAATCCCTGAATAAAACGTTTATATATGTATATATATATATATATATATATATATATATACACACACACACACACACATATATAGACATTCATTTTCTTGTCGGCTTAGTCCCTTTATTAATCCAGGGTTGCCACAGCGGAATGAACCGCCAACTTATCCAGCAAGTTTTTTTTTTTACGCAGCGGATGCCCTTCCCGGACAATTTAGCCTACCCAATTCACCTGTACGGCATGTCTTTGGACTGTGGGGGAAACCGGAGCACCCATATATATATATATATATATATAATTTGGGTTAGAACAAGCCAGCATTTTTAGTGTGTATGTTCTATCATTTAAATGCACCCAAGTGTACACTGTAAATACATTGTTCCAGCTTTATTTTTTTGTTTCATATATATATATATATATATATATATATATATATATATATATATATATATATATATATATATACATATATAAACGTTTTATTCAGGGATTTATGACAATTGAATCAATAATACCAGACTTGACTGCATATATATATTACTATTTTCTTTGTGTGGATGACTTCAAACATTAGGCTACAGTATATACACAAAACACGTTTGTTGACCATTTTCACAGACTCTTACCACAACTTTTCCAAATTTCTGAAATCATGGCCTGATAGCTGTGAACGTTATGTTTTTAATTAGATTCATGAGAATGAACATGTTCTGCTTTGATTTCAGCCTTAAGATTAATGTGGAATAAGTATTACGCCAACGTCAAAGACTTTTCTTGATCAAAAGCTGCTTAAATAGCGGTCTACTGCAACAAGGTGAACAAATAGATGCCTGTTAAAAGTGTCTAGGCCGCTTTGAGCTGTTTTTAGAGCATGTTTGTAACATATTTTGTGGCATAGTTGGCTTACAACGCCTGCTAGTGGACATACATTTTCTTACACATCACGTGCGCTTTTTTCTCGTGAGCATTGTCAAAGCAAGTATGTAAATATCGTGCGTCTGTATTGCTTTAATTCAGCATTTGATAGTTTAAATAATGAATTCACAATAATTCACTGTTAGTTTTGGCTATTATTGTCATTTGTTGCATAATAAAATGTCCCTGTTTCAAGCATTGTTTTTGTTTTATTATCATTTTTTTATATTCTTTGTCTTTTTTTGATCGTGTACCTTTTAAATATTATTAAGGCTCTGTTAGTGACATGTAAGCTGAAATATGTTCCCTAAATAATCGACTCAAATGGTTACCTATAAATTATCCACGCTCAAGTCAACCGGATATTAACTTTAAAGTTTCATGTTTTCATAACATTATCCATGACATCACTTTTGAGTGTCTGTGGAAAGAAATCTGAGCATATTACCGCCATATCATTGCTTTTACTTTTCTAAAACGAACTAACACAAGATCTGCATAGATAATGGCACAATAAATAGATAAGTTGAACAGCTACCACAGAATTCAAAACAGATATGCTTTCTAATAAATTTGAGTGCACATACACGCAAACTTAATCAAAATGTTTTGATCTTTCGTTATTAATGCAGAACCTTAAAAAATAAATATTATTTATTGGCATTGATGGTTTTATAAATGCAACATTTAAAGAACATTTCCGTTGCACCAAAAGAAAACTATACACTTTGAAAATGATGAGTTGTCGTAACAATCATAAGTTAAATTAAAAAATTGTAATTTCAATTTAATTGCAACAATTTTCCCACAGATTTATTTCTCTATATGTGACTCAATACAGCAGCCCATCATTTTTAGAGTCTAGTGCAGGACTTCTTAAAAAAAGCGTTGTTCACAATAAAAACATGGTTCTGTAATGAACTTTTCATTGAAATGTCCTTTGTGGAAGCCAAAAAAAGTTTATTTCATGCCATCGTTGCCGGAAAAAACGTCTTTTAATGTTGTCATCTTAGTGATCCTGAAGAGTCAAGTGATGAGAGAAAATTAAGTAGGGAGAGAGTAATGCTATAACGCTTTGGTACAGTTTTTCAATGTGTGAAAATGCCATTTTTCTCCAGCTAAACCTTTAGCTGCATGTTATTGTCACTGAAAGTTATCAATATGCTGCACCTATCAGAGCCGCGCGCAGTTCACCAGACCCGGACACTGAGGGTCAGAGCTCCGCTGCCGGGCACCAGGTCCTTTCCTACCGGCGCATCTGCATGTGAAATCGCCATTTCACCCCGCCACACTCCCTAATTGTTGTAAAAATTATTTGTGAAATTGCTTTCCACCAGGAGTGTTCGCCACGGCAATTTCCACACAATCTCAGCGCACGGCGGTCCCACAGAGCTGAACACGCGCACAGCCATTCAACCTAAAGAATCTGGAGGATTTTTCCTATCATATGTGCGGTTATAGCACTCTCGGAAAAACAGCTGAAGCGACTTACAGACTTAAAATAAAGTCTGAAGTAGAATAACAAGCGTTTTTACAACCATAGAAAATATTTAAGTGTTAAAACATTTGCGGCTTATCTGCAGTATTAAAGTAAGCTATAACTAACACAGATCTGAAGAACATTTGAAACATGAACTTTTTGCATATTTTCAGTATATTCTAAAATAAAATAAACAAACTATAAAGAGGGGTTTTACAGGGAAGATTTTGTTTTCTTTCAGTCAATTGTACAATTGATTTTTTTCTTGCTGTCAAAAATATTTCAGGTTTATATTCTGAAGAACCGTCAGGTAAAGTTAGTATCTGAATTAAATGGGCTGCAAAGAACCATGCAAAAACCTTTAATTTAATGTATAGATTATATACTTTCTATTAATGCTTCTATGAAATATTTTGATTAAACCCTTTAATTAAACCCTTTGATATTGCCTACGACTAATATCCATATTGATTCATGTGAAGTGTGTTAGCCAAAACATCTTCATTAGTTCTTGTGCATCATCAGGGCCCTTTTAACCTTAATCTCGTGTAGGTGTGTTGACATTTCCGATACATTCTTGATACTTTTGTTTTTCTTCACACGAACAAATAGCATAAAATCACATTTTTTATACAACACTACACATACATAGATATCCTTCATGTATCCTTTTTTCTTTTTTAATAATTACAATAAATAATTCAATGCATCTGTAAAAAAAATTATTATGCACATAGGCCAAATTCATGATTACAATTTATGAAGATGAAGGTCCAATATTTTCCTATTTATATGAAATATATAGGCAAAATGCGTTGATGTTTATTTTAACTTTTAGTGGTTAATAAATAACAACAACAACAACAACAACAATAATAATAATAATATGCATTGTTGTTGTATCGTTACTATGTAATTTCAATATGTGTTTAAAGATACTGTCGTGTAAATGTTTCCCTATATTTCAGAAGATTTCAAAGCATTAAACTGACGTTTCAGTTCAAATGAGAGATGAATGAAAACTCCTTGTAACATTTCCTGTGTTGACTTAAAGAGAGAGTGGGAGGGTAGTTTGTGTGCGTGTGTGTTTTCTGCAAAGTTCCTCCGGATTGGACGCCTGGTCCTGGGCTTCACCCTTTCTCTCCATGGAGAATAAAAGAGTGCTGGAGAGCCTATCGTAACGCGCGCTTCCTCCTCCCACTATGTGCGCCAAAGTTGGCCACTTAAACTCCTCTCAGGCTGCAAACAGGAGCTGTAATCAAAACTAGCAGAACCTCTCACTAATATTTACTCACAGTTGATTCAGAGCACATTTCATGCTTTACTCTGCTCTTTTGTTTTTTGGTGTCCACTGAAAGAATCTGACTTTTTTTCTTCCTTTTTGGCATTGTGCACTGCAGTGTATGCGTGTTTGGATTTCTTTTGAAAATATTGGGACTTGTTACAGTTTCCACGCCGCAAAAAACAACACTGGAGCTTTTTGTGTGATTGATTGATTGATTCATAATTATAAGTAAGAGTTTAAATTGTGTGGGAGTAGCTGGAATGGCTACTTTACCAGGAACAGTTCCTCGAATGATGCGGCCAGCACCAGGCCAGAACTACCCACGAACCGGATTCCCATTAGAAGGTACGAAATTCATCTTTATTTCTAATGTATTTTATTGCTATATTTACAGTTGTAGTTTTACAACATACTGACAGATTTTACTTTTTTAAGTTAGCTAGTGTGAAGTATTGTCAAACACTTTTACACGAAAGAGATGGAGGCTTAAAAAGAACAAAAAACTACCTAAATTAAATGCTAGAATTTATTAAATCAATAATTCGATAATGGACCGCTTTTAATTTCTCGCCGCGTCCTTTTGTAAAATCTGCACTTTGGTATTTGCATTTTCCGCCGCGTATTAAATGGGAAACTCTTTCCTAGATCGGGTGAATTCGTGCTTAAGAGCAGTTTGACGAAATCCTTCCAACCCACGATTCCTGCAATCTGTGGGATTTACTGAAGTATCTCGCAACACTGAAAGGAAATAAAACACACAGCTGAGAGCTGGCTCAACGCATCACACTAATATTTGTGTAGCATGACTGGGAATAATCGAGGTTTAAAGTGGCACATCTTTAGAGCCTCTTGAATGGCAATTAGTGTCCTCAAGTGTTACATCCTCATCGGATAGATTGATAGTAAAGAAGGATTCTTTTTAGGAAAAAAGAAAATGTGTGAGATTACTCATTTGATTAATCATTATTCGCATCTTCCAATATTAAGCCTGCAGCAAGAATAGTTTCAAAATCTTGATCACTTGATAAATGATATTAAATGATAGGATGTGATTAATCAAAGTGACAGCATGCAAATGTTTTAGTGACAGCCTGGGGAATTTTTAATTCTGGGAGATTCACAATTATATACACTTTACTGTATATTTTATGTTACGCTGCATGCGTACATCAAATGCGCAAGCTGTTTGTATTTTAAAAATAAAAATTGCACAGGTAAAACATATCACTTAAAGTGTCACAAGTTTTATTTTACTTCTATGTTTACGTATTTTAACTTACTTTTCGGGCCTGGATATTTTTGCACAGTCTCAACACCTCTGGGTCAAGGTCGAGTCAATCAACTCGGTGGAGTTTTCATCAACGGAAGGCCTCTGCCTAATCATATTCGACACAAAATAGTGGAAATGGCCCATCACGGTATCCGACCCTGTGTTATCTCCAGACAGCTGCGGGTCTCACACGGCTGCGTGTCCAAAATCCTCTGCAGGTACCAGGAGACCGGGTCTATCCGCCCGGGTGCTATTGGTGGAAGCAAACCGAGGGTGAGTGAACGATTTATACATGTTTAAAAATCATAATGGATTATACACAGAAAAAAATAATAATATTAAATTATATATGCCTTTCTTTAAATAATATAACTGAGTTTTTAAAAACGAAAAAACAACGCGCACTTATTTGTCTGTGTTTTTCTTTCTTTGTTCTCAACATTTGCGGTTCCAAACTAAAGCAAGTTGCAACACCCGACGTTGAAAAGAGAATTGAGGAATACAAACGTGAGAATCCAGGGATGTTCAGCTGGGAAATCCGGGATAAGTTGCTGAAGGACGGAGTGTGTGACAGAGGCACGGTTCCTTCAGGTGAGGCCTCTTCCGGTAAGCACAATTTCTTTATTATTGGCATACAGAGGACTGAAGGCACATTATCTTAACAATATAAAATTCCGTTTAATAATCTGTGAGAAAATGAGTAATTTTACACTTGAGAATTTAGCATGATTTAGTAGGTATGCTCCTTATTTTTTATTAGTAGTTTATCTATTTTCTGTGTGCGCGACAGACTTCCTGTTCATCAGCCTTTAAATATAGGCTATCTAGAAGAATAAAGTGCTCTTACGTTACAAATAAGGCTGATATAAATTGCTAAATATATAAAATATTTTTCTATTGTTTATGTATATTGTTGTTTTAAGCCTTAACGTGTTTTTTTCATCTCTCTTTATAGTTAGCTCCATTAGTCGGGTTTTGAGAGCTCGCTTTGGCAAGAAAGATGACGATGACGAGTGTGATAAAAAAGATGAAGACGGAGAAAAGAAAACCAAGCACAGCATTGACGGGATTCTCGGGGATAAAGGTCAGAGGCCTTTAACTTTACGTCTTTGTGGGTGCAAGCGAACGTGATGTGTAAATATGCGGTGTTTATTAAAACTGCAAGGTGTGGATCCGCCGACAGATCGTGATGGACTGGTGCTATAATTGCTGCTGTTGTTGCAATTGATATTTCATTAGGTTGTTATTTGAAAAGGACAGATGCTGCAGTCCTTCATTCTCGCCAGGGGGAATCTGTGCGCCCCCTTGGAAAAATGGCACAAATCGCTCTCATTATTCATGCTGCTAGCTGTTCGGTACTTACTCAATTATTTATGTGAGTCCTGACGTCAGGTATTTAGCCTGGTAAATTAATTTGTGTGACACATTCCATTTCCCTCTCGTTTTAACGACTCCCTAAACGACAACTGACAGTTTGACCCATTTGAGAATCGATGTCAGTTTAAGCAACTACATTATGCAGGACATGTGGAGTCTGTACAGGTGACTTGTTTTGCCAACATTTTGCATTTATATATTTTTAAATATATATTTAAAATAATAATAACAATAATAATAATAATAATAATAATAATTATTATTATTATTATTATTATTATTATTATTATTATTATTATTATTATTATTATTAAAAGCAAAAAATAAAACAAAAAATTAAGTCTAAAATCTTTTTAATTGAATTTAATATACAGAAAATATATTACAGGCTGTCTGAAAAATAAAATGGTTTATTAAATACACTATATATATATATATATATATATATATATATATATATATATATATATATATATATATATATATATATATATATAATTAGAATGTAATATAATTTAAAACGCACAATTTCTGCATTTTCTTATTTTATATTTTTTGCGTTTTTCTAAACTTGGTTATGAACAATCTCGATTTAAGCCTTTGTAACCTTTAGACTGAGACACAAAGGAGAAAGGGCTCTGGAGCCGGGCAGCAAAAAGAGCAACTGGACCGGTGACCCCTATTCAAAGATCCTAGAAAAGAGGGGAAAACTTTGTACAAAGGAAAGTATAAAAAAAGAAAGGCAGATAAATTATTCAGTGCTCCCTGCTGCTAGATAGTTTTGTAATATGAAGGAGCGTTTACAATTGTAAGCTCAACATTTCATGGTGCAAAACGGCGTCTTTTGTGCGGGTTTAGTTGCGCGTAACTGCGCAGTTGGTTTAAGACAAAGTAAAGCGTTTACATTTACACATACCTGACAGTTGTTTTGGTTTAAAAATAAGGATATTTTAAGACGAATTAATCAATGTGTTAAATAGGAATGCAAGTAATTTAATTTGTGTTTTAAACCGTTTTACAAATGTTACGCTAATGTTGCCTCATTCTCATTTAAATATGCATTTACACACGCTACAAAAAATTATGCTAGTTTTTAAACACATGCATGAAAAAAATGTTCATTCTGTTGCTCTCCACTGGTTGTGCTTATTAATTTGTTGGGAATGTTGTGAGTGCGTCATCTCTGGGCTAATGAGTCTATAAATCTGTCATTTCTACTGTCTCATCTTCGGCACAACACAGAATTCACTGTTAAATTCTTTGAAGGGATTCTTTAAGTTTACCATCCGGATAACATTTAATAATGTTAAGACTTATTAGAGCTGCAGTTTGTTGAATGGGCGTCTGTGTTGCTGAGGAGTGTAATAGCTCGGAGGCACCGGTAAGAAACACACTGATCCCCCAACCGCTCTCTCGCCGGGGTTTCGCGCACAAACGTAATGTAGAAGAGCTTTTAAGCCCTGATTAAACTGAGCCCCTTTATTTCTTTTCACTTTCATCTCTAAACGGCTCACACTGACTCGCCCAGGGCGTAAATTCATGAGATTTGCAGTTTATTTTATATCATCTGTTATTTATTTATTATTTATTTATTTATTGTCAACTTTTTGGAATATGCAAAATGTGTTATTTATTTATTTTTGCATGTGCGCATAAGGCGTTTTATTGCATGTGTTTACGCGGTGTTAACGCAGTTACTAGCTAGTTAATCAGAAAAGATTAACCTCACATGTCGTGACATACTAAATAGCCTATATTCATACTTTATTTTATAGATTAAAATATTTATTTGGCATGTGTTTATGATGCGTTAAGTTAATATAGCTAGTTAATTTTCTTTTTTTTTTAATTCTTAAATTTGGCATACGCAATCCGCAAGACATCATAAACATTTTCCTTTTTCACGCACACACACGCAAACACGTTGCTTAAACTCTGAGCAGACCCTATGTGTCTAACCTTAATGGCTTTAAATGACTTCCACATTTAGTTTCGTGGCCATTACAATAATAATAATCTTGTGCACCTGCCATCCTCGTTACGGAAATAAAAAATATGATGAGCGACAGCAGAGTCAGCGCAAACCTGCCAAACATAATTAGTCTTTAATAGGTTACAGCCCCGCGTCTGACAGCTCACCTGGTGCTCTTTTTGTCTGCAGGAGCATCAGTTAAACACGACCACGCGTCCATTTGTGAGAGTGGCACTGGACACTTCAGCAAATCTGTGGATTACCTGAGGTTTTCAGACTAATCAAACAGACTTCAGTCAGGGCATTAGGAGTGTTATTATGGGATAATGGCAATAAAAGAAACTGTAGGCGAGATGGCTGCAGACTCATTTTAATTTTATACACCATCTAAATGATTTTTAGAAGAAAACACAAACACATTTTCACTGATGAAATATTTATTCTAAGAAAAAGCACGAGGGAAATAATTTATAGTATTGGCTCTCCAGACGCGCACCAGCATGCCATATTTTCTCACATTTATATAAAAATAAAGCAGATACTTTCCAGCCTAAAGCCGCACTGAAAGAGAAGCATAGGGAGACGTTTTAAACAAATCCATCTGGAATAGAATATGTTACAGGGACACAGAGTGAGAGAGAGAGAGAGGAAGATTAAGTGAAAGTAAGGGGAAGTTATTTAGCTATTAATATTTTTTCTCCTCAGGCGTCGAGAGTGACTCCATCTGCACTTTCTTGCAGCTATTTTGGCTGGGCTGAAATTGTGGGAGACCCAAATGTTGGGCAGAGATAACATAACCATCAGAGTGTGGACCATCACTGCATTAAACACGGATTAACCTCTTCTCTCCCGTCACCCTGTCTCAACGCAGCTCGAGAATTTGACTGGCGAGGGATTTTCTTTAGTGTGTAGACTCCAGGGTTTCATCTCTAAATGAACACTCGAGAAGCAACAACAATCGATTTTTAAAATAAGATTTTAACATGCATTTTTTATATTTATATATATATATATAACGTATTTTCCTCTTCTCTGATTTGAAGCAGTTTTGTTGACAGGGATAATAAGTTGAACAGATTTAAGCTCATAATAACATTACACTGCAGCTACTGATTATGGACGCTTGCGTCCGTTTCGCCATTACAGTGCTCATTACTTAAAGTCCCGATAAAGGCAGTTCTAATTCCTGGAACCAATCAAATTTACCGAACCAGATGCAATTGACCATGATTTGTATTCAAGCATTAGTGATGAACATTTTTAAAAAGCCATATCAACTCTATCTATCTATCTATCTATCTATCTATCTATCTATCTATCTATCTATCTATCTATCTATCTATCTATCTATCTATCTATCTATCTATCTATCTATCTGTCTGTCTGTCTGTCTGTCTGTCTGTCTGTCTGTCTGTCTGTCTGTCTGTCTGTCTGTCTGTCTGTCTGTCTGTCTGTCTGTCTGTCTGTCTATAAGTTTATTGGTTGTAAACAATAAATTTGGGCTTGAATTTGAACAAACAAATTGGGTTGAACTACTAAATTTTATTTGTTTTATTTAAATTTATTTAAACAACACAAATTGCAGATATCATTTCTATCTATCTGTCTGCCTGTATGCCTGTCTGTCTGTCTGTCTGTCTATCTATCTGTCTATCTAAACAACAATAAGATTATGGATTTTTCGTTTTGTTATATCTCTTTCTATTGTTTATCTAATAATATTAACCTTATCATTCAAAGCATGTAAAGACTTGCGCGTAATTAAACAATATTAAGGAATTTGCTATTCCTGCTGTTGATCCATCTGCTTAAATGCAAACATGGTTGATATTTCAATGTGTCTTTTGTTGAATCCGCTTTAATGCTTAATTGGCCTCTATACAGGGATTATAGACTAGTTTACAATGTGTCGCATGACCTGTGAACTCCCGACAGGGCCTGAATTTGTCAAGATGCGAGTTTAGATGTTAAAAATGAAGCAAAACGGGTAAAGATGATGTGAATGACGGCTAAGACAGTTAAAGGAAATTGAGAGGCTTATGATCTTTGATCCGTGGATGTCTTTCGCTCATCAAAAACACTTGAGAGCACTGCTGTACAAAGCGACTTCATATTACCGCCTGCCTGTTCATTAAATGCGGTTTGCCATCTGGGACGGTGTAAATCTCAGTACAGATGTTAGGGAGAATATCATTCTTTTATATCTGAGAAAAGTCTTGTAATGGTGCGGTTTTCAGCTCCCCTGCTGGAAATTCTGGAGTGCGCGGAAGACTTTTACTCACATGAACGCTATTTCATTATCTGCTTCTGCTAATAGCCAGAGAGGATTTCATTTTTCAACTTTTCAAGGGCTTTGGAGCCTAGATGTAATGCATGAATCACGCATAATGTACTGAGTAGATGTGTGCGTGGATCTTTATGCGTAATTCCTTTCTTGTAATGGATATTGTATTTGGTGCGCTCGTATCTGGTTAATGTTTGTAATGGGGTCTTAAATACACAATTGATTTTGACATGTAAATTGTCATTTCCGTTTTAGCCATTTGATTTGTGAGGGCGGGTCACACTTGACACACACAAGCTGCGTGTGCTCACTCTCTCTCTCTTTCACTCTCTCTCTTTCTGTGTGTGTGTGTGTGTGTGTGTGTGTGTGTGTGTGTGTGTGTGTGTGTGTGTGTGTGTGTGTGTGTGTGTGTGTGTGTGTGTGTGTGAGGAGGGAGTCTGAAAATGCATCC